GGGGGCAGGGGGGGCAGAAGTGCCCTTTTAGTTGTAAAATAATACGTGATAAATCACATTTCCAACGATGCTTTTTGTAGGAAAATGATGAGATTCAGGTAATTTATAGTTTATATTTATAAAAATTTTGGGAAATTTTTGGAATTTAGAAAAATATTTTGAAGAAATGGCGAAAATTTAAGATATCCGGAAAAAATTTTTGTTTCACGGAAAATTTTTGTATGTCCGGAAAAAAAATCTGACCCCTAAAATGGTACACTGATCGAAATTTTTTTGGCGACGGGGGGCGGGGTCGCCAAAAAATTTTGCAGTGAAAAAAATTTTTTCAGTAAAGGTGCCCTTGGTGTGCGTCCGCCCCCCTTTGCCCTATTATCGTTCCGGCGTCCCTGCATATAGCGTTGTGAAGTTTTGTACATTTGTATTACGCGCGGTAAAAATAACCACTTTCGGCTCAAAGTTATTATTTTTCCCGCGCGTAATGCAAATATATACAAAATTTGCGAAGTTCACAGTGCTATATTTTCCTCATTTTACAACAATTCGCAACCAAACTTTGCAATTTTACTCATTTTAAGATGCTCTTTCCAGCTATGGTAATGGATTTCATTGTTCTTGTCTAGATCAAAACTTAGTCTACCGTATAGCCGAAATCATCCATTGATAGCAGTCTGATTCGCCACGCATTCAAACTCAATACTCCCATTCAATTACTATCATAGATATATGTACTCAATCAGGGAATCATTATCATGTTTCCACTTACTTGAAAGTTGCTACCGAAGCAATGACTTCATCTATTTTTCCACGACGTTGATACTACAAAGAGGAATGCATTAATTAAATACTTTTACCGACCACTTGGCTGAAATACTCGTTACTTGTCTGCAGACCTGTAACAACTCGTGCGTTTTTACGTGTGTAAAAACGCACAAGTTGCTACAGGTCTGCAAACAAGTTGTTACAAATCTGTTCACAAGCTGTCGACAAGTTGTGTTCGCACTGCTTGTTCCCAGTTGTTGTAACAAGTTTGGAACAAGCTGTTAACAACCTGCAACAAGCTTGATGGCATTATCAGACTTGTTACAAGGTTGTTCTAATAAGTGTGATACATTCATGCATGATGTAACAAGAATGTTGCCGAAAGGTTGACGACACAAGGTTGTAACAATATTGTTATATCATGATTGTATTGGACTTGTTGGAACAACCTTGCAACAAGTCTGATAATAGCAACAAGGTTGTTACAAGTTGTTAACAGCTTGTTGCAAACTTGTTGACAACTTGGGACAAGCAGTGCGAACACAACTTGTTGACGGCTCGCTGGCAGACTTGCTACAAGATGTGAAATTTTTACGCGTGTACGTCCAATTAAGGTGCACGCTTACCTCAGATTCTGTCAAAGGCAATCCGCGCATAAGCTCACTCCTAGACATATCGCCCAAACACAGTCTATGAATAACTTCACGTCTCAATTCACTCTCACTGTCTACTTGACCGACAACAGCATTGTATCTTTCTCCTGTACCAGCAAAAAATACGTCAGTCGTATGTAATCAATGGATGAATGCAGCTACAGTATAGACTAAATTCTGATCCAGGAAAGAAGAACAAAATCTGTCACCACAGCTAGAAAGAGCATGTTAAAATTAGTAAAATTGCAAAGTTTGGTTGCGAAATGTTGTAAAATGAGGAAAATATAGCCCTTACGAAATTTGCAAATTTTGTATAAATTTGTATTACGCGCGGGAAAATGCACCACTTTCGGCCCAAATGTGGTGCATTTTCCCGCGCGTAATACAAATTAATACAAAATTTGCAAATTTCGCAGGGCTATATTTTCCGCATTTTACAACATTTCGCGGCCAAAGTTTGCAATCTTATTAATTTTAACATGCTCTTTCTAGCTGTGGTGATGGATTTTGTTCTTCTTGCCTAGATCAAAATTTAGTCTATAACTGGAATTGCCTATATTCTTACTAAATACTTCATGCACGTCATCTGCATGGGGCGTCTGAAAGATAAACTCCGAAAATTTCCAAATCGTGCAGCCCGAATTACTGTATAGCTGGCGCTAGCGACGAGACCAGCTCTGCTGATATTCTTCGATCTCTTACTTGCGATAATTTAGAAACAAGGCGATGTACAACTAAATCAATACTATTGTACAAAGTCTTGAATACAGGACCTAATTTGAAAGAGTCCTTGATAAGACACAATCAGATGTAAACTAATAGGCAATTCCCATTATAGACTAATTTTAAAACTAGGCAAGGAGATGCAAATAAATCACCACAGCTAGAAAGAGCATACTAAAATGAGTAAAATTACAAAATTTAGTTGCGAAATGTTGTAAAATGTGGAAAATATATAGCCTTGCAAAGTTTGCAAATTTTGTATACTTTTGTATTGCGTGCGACATTTTCGGCCTAAGGGCCTGTTCATATGGGCAAAAGTTATCCCGGTTAGCGAGAAAACTTTTCGACAAGTTTACAAGCGAGATCTCGCCTTGGTATGAAAATAATATGAAAAGTTACATTGCGTTCATATGAGACAAAAAGTTTTCCCGTGTACCGAGATCTCGCTTGTTGACAGGCGAGATCTCGGTGACCGGGATGTTTTTCCCATATGAATACAACTTTCCCGTTTATAGCGGGATAACTTTCTGTCGTGTCAGCAACTTTTCAATTCAATTGATGTTCAGTGCCACGTCACAGCCGAAAACTTTACCCGGTAAGCGGGATAAAGTTTCTCCATATGAACAGAACAAAAGTATTTGGCTAGTCGAAAAGTTTTCTCGTTAACTGGGATAACTTTTGCCCATATGAATAGGCCCTAAATGTGGTAGGAATGTGGTAGGAATTTCTGCAAGCAAAACAAAAGTATACAAAATTTGCAAACTTTGCAAGGCTATATTTTTCACATTTTACAACATTTCGCAACCAAACTTTGTAATTTTACTAATTTTAGTATGCTCTTTCTAGCTGTGGTGATTTATTTGAGTTTCCTTACCTAATTTTAAAATTAGTCTATAATGGGAATTGTCTATTATGACCTTAGAAATGGTCACACTGATTTAGCCCTTGCGAAGCCTATAGAACAGTAAAAGTGAATTCCTCAAAAAGAGCTTCAAGTATAGTGGGGCTAAACAATGGAATAGTCTCTCCACTGATACCAATCTGGCAGAGTTGATTTATTCATTCAAAAATTATTTGAAACAGAATTACAATAACACAATGGACGACTTGCGCTTTAGAAAAAATTTTAATCTGGGAATATAACAAAGGATATCTTCGGAAAGAAGTTATCAAAATTAGAAAAACTGCAAAGTTTGGTTGCGAAATGTTGTAAAATACGGAAAATATAGCCCTGCGAAGTTGACAAATTTGTATACATTTCTATTACGTGCGGAAATTGGTAACTAATTTAGTTACCAATTCACGCACGTAATACAAAAGTATACAAATTTGCCAACTTTGAAGGGCTATATTTTCCGTATTTTACAACATTTCGCAACCAAACTTTGTAATATTACTAATTCTACGACGCTCTTTCTCGCTATGGTGATAAATTTCGTTGTTCTTACTTAGATTAAAATTTAGTCTAAAGCGCAAGTCGTCCATTCATTGAAACATATTCTGTAATAAGCATGCAGGGTTACAGTGCATGCATCATGATTTACTAACTATAATGCTCACCCAGTATTATGATCAAAAGATGAAGAAACTCGCCAGCTAATGCGAGCTCTTGATTTATCCTGATCTAAAACAATATAATTTCAGGTTATTTGAAGTCACAACCTCCGAAATATAATTACTGATATGAAACACACCTCGTCACTCTTATCGACATTGTAGCTTGATCTACGAGAGAAAATAATACGAGAGCGATTAAAAGACAATTTTTTGTCTAATATTTCGTGTATTTGCGAAGAGAAGCATTCAAAACATAAACTCTTTTTGGCGTTCCTCTCAAAATTACTTTGTTTTAGCTTTATTTTGTAGTTTACACCACTAGCAACCTTTTTAAATGTATCTGGCGGTTGAGAACCACAAAATAATAGTTAAGTATTGTCAATTTACATACAATTATCATTGACGCTGTAAAATTGACGCCGTATTTATACAGCAATATAAGAAAACTTACTGAACTTCAAAGTTCAAACATTTTCTGTTTGGCGTACCATCTAAAATCTCGTCATCTTAGCATAATTTTACAGATAAAGCACTGAACATATTTTTTAAGTTTGTTTGCCACTTGTGAAACGTATCAAAAATTTAAAAAATTGAATATAGTCCTAACCATGCAAGTGAAAAAGTTTATTCATTAGTTCTGAGCGCGTGTTATGTAACATACAAAAGATTCTCCTCTTGACTTAAGAGAAATACATCATCTAATACAGGCAATAGAGCATTTTTACGGCTATTTAAATATCTCAAACTCATTAATAATTCATGATAAATTAGCCAACCATACTGCTTTATTTTGCTCACACGATAATACTGGATACCTGTTGAAGTATATTGATTATTATTATTATTATTATTATTATTATTATTATTATTATTATTATTATTATTATTATTATTGAACGATTTACATGGAGACACGATTGCATACTAAAGTTTCTTGCAAAAACCTTTCAAAGTTTAAACAAATGCAAATTACTTGTTGATCTTCCTGGATTTGAAAGCCCCTCGATTATTACGGGTAATGAATATCATCCTGATTTACTTGTCTCCACTTCAGACAAACACCTCTACGTTGTTGAACTTACCGTAGGCTTTGAATCAAACCTCACAAACAATGTTAACCGCAAGAAAGCTAAATATAAGAACCTAATTAGAGAACTAGATCAAAACTTTACATCTGTTAAATTTATAAATCTTTCAGTCAGTTCGCTAGGGGTGTTTGACAAAGAATGCCATACATTTGTAAAAATGCTAAATGAGTTAGGACTGGATAATCAACACCAACAATATTGTATCAGAAAAATGATATCTATTGCCATCCGATCAACGTACTATACATATTTTGCTGTAGAAATAAAGAATGGACAAATCCCGAACTAATGAACATTTAAAGTAACTATTTCTATAAATAACTAAAATTTTTTGTATATAAAACTATAACCATGTATAAGTGATTCAAGTAGTCAATTGTAGGTTACCTCAAGAAGTGAGATTTACAATTGTATATATCTATAAATGTTCTATTAATAAAGTTTTCATTATTATTATTATTATTATTATTATCATCATTATCATTATCATTATTATTAATGGTTTATTTGCATATTATCGCATTGAAAATGAATTACAATATGCTGCTTATACATGGAAATATACTAAAATTTACAAAAATACTAAAATATGAATTACTATATATCTAATATAAATGTTAAAACCTAATATAAAAGTTAGGCATATACGTCAACTTGACTATAGCACATTGCCGGGATAAAACTGTTCTTAAACCTCTCAGTTCTACATTTGGGAAGCGATAATTGATTTTTATTTCTCGAACTCTGTCCATGGACGTTTCCGCGAGTTGACGGCAACAAGTGGTACAGTTTCGAGAAAGGCTTAGCAATCTTTTGTAAGGTATTCTGGTATTCTAAGGTATTCTAAAGTCCAAAAATTACAAAACAGAGCGTTTCGAATAATCACTCGTGAGAATTATACGACACGATCGGCTGATATATTAAACAAGCTAAAAGTTCCAAACCTCGAAAAAAGAAGAATGCAACAACTTTCAATTCTCATGTACAAGGTGAAAAACAAATTGGTCCCCGATTACTTGTGTGATATGTTCACAAATGTGGGTGATGTACACAACCATAACACAAGACAGTCGGGAGCCGATTTGACATTGCCTAAACCAAAAACAAATAGTATGAAAAATGCATTCTCCTACAGAGGTGCGGAAGTCTGGAACTGCCTTCCTGCATCGGTAAAAGCATCAACAACTATATTGCTAATTTTAAATCTAACGTGAAGCATGCAAATTAACATCAAGTGATCCTGCCATTGTTTCCATCTACCTAAAATAATTTTCTTGTAATTATTTCTTATTTCTGTTTGTGTGAGCACGGCCGCGGTTGGAAGATCACCTTTTTTTCTTTTTATATCTTGTACATAATTAATTTTAGTATAGGTGAAATTGCACCGTGTTGAAATATAGTTCATAATAATAATAATAATAATATACATAAAGATATTACTCGACTGTGATTGGTTGATTTCAGTGCAGTTAATCCCAAACAGCAGTGCAATTTTCTGTAATCACAGTGCAATTTTCTGTAATCACAGTGCAATTTT